ATATTCATTAATAGAAGGAAAACTGTCAATGTTCCATTTAGAATCGATGGTATTGAGATCTGTAGAGTCAGTGAAGTGAAGTTTCTGGGTGTCATCATAGATGAAAAGCTGACATGGAGACCTAATATAAATCATTTAAAAACAAAAAATAGCCAAATCCATTGCAGTATTGTACAAAGTAGAAGATTTATTTAATGATAAAGCTCTGTTTATATTATATAATGCAATAATTGTTCCATACTTGATCTAGAGTATTGACGCTTGGGGAAAAGCATGCAAAACAATTACAAACCCAATTTTTGTTTTACAAAAAATAACCGTGAGAGTTATCACCAGAAAGTATTACTATCACCCATCAAATAAATTGTTCCATTGTTATGATTTGTGTCTGTGTTAATGTTTTATTTTAGTTTCTGTCTTGTCATCTGTTTTCTTCCTCCTTTCTGCCTTTGCTCCAGCCCCGCCCACTCTCACCTGCTCCTCATGTTTCTCTCCCAGGTGTTTCCTGTTTGTGCTCGTTAGTCTCACCTTTATATTCTGTGTCTTGTCTTCACTTCCCTGTTTGATCTTTGTGCTGTTTTCAGCCTGTGATGATTCTTGTTTCTTGTTCCTTGTCTTTGCCATATAACCAGTAGAAAATTAAAYTCAACCAAACCAAAAAACTTCAATATTTTCAATTTACAAAATGATGAATTTGATGGGTGACGACAATGTTTTCCAGTAATAATTCTCACAGCTCTTTTCTGTAAAAAAAACAAAACACGATTTGTAATTGTCTGACACGCTTTCCCCCAGACTTCAATACAATAAATCAAGTGTGGACCTATTATTTTGTTAAACAAGATATACAATGCTTTATCATTAACAAACTACCTTACTTTATACAGAACAGCAATAGTTTTAGCCAGGTTCTAATTAGTTGAAAATGTTTCTCCTCTAAGAGACTTCTTAAGTCTGAGGAGTTACAGGTAAACTCAGCCTRATAAGCCTTGCTTTCACATGGTGAAGAAACAGGTTTAACAATCACAATCAAAATTGTTTGTTCACATGGAAAAGAGGACCATCACCCGAACCATCGTTAGTGTCCTGATTGTTGCCTGTTGTTCACAGTTGGCTGATGGATTTGAAAGCCATCGGGACATCATGTTTAGTCCTGAACTGAATTRCTGAAACAGAATTCCAGCCAGCCGTTGGGTGAAAAGGAGGTCCCCAGACCCAGACTAGTGGTCATTTCATATGTTGCGGGAGTTTCAGAGAACCTGAGACGTTTATTCTTTAAACATGACGTCCCAGTGGCTTTCATACCCCAAGACACATTATGGCAAAGACTAGTTCACCCGAAAAATCTGTGCACAAATGCAGTAATGTGTAAGTGCCAGGACTGTGACAAGTTATACATCAGAMGAAACAAAGCAGCCACTGGCCAAGAGGATGGCCCAACACAGAAGAGCAACGTCATCCGGCCAGAACTCTGCAGTTTACACTCATCTGCAGGCCAGTGGTCACTCTTTCAGGGATGAAGATGTTCTCATCTGTGATAGGGAGGAACGTTGGTTTGAGAGAGGAGTAAAGGAAGTTATTTTTGTGAAGAGAAACAGACCYTTGTTAAAAGGGGTGGAGGCCTTTGGGTCCAACTGTTCCACTCTTACAACAGCCCTTTGTGAACATTCAGAGAACTAATGAGGCTGATGATCCTGTATGAACAACAGGGATATTCAGAGCACCAGTGGTGGGCACAGTTCCCCTAAAGAACTAAAGCACTAATAGTGGAACTATTTCCTGATTAGTGCTTTAGGGGTTTTGCTGTTTTTAAAATTTAGTAGGGGATTAGCACTTGCTAAACTTATAGGCTAAATTTAGAAACACTAACTGAGGTCTATAAATGTTACTGATCAATGTTAATGTTAACAGCTGAGAGTGAAAGCTGTTGAACATTTTGTTCATATGTGTCACTCATCCACTAGGTGACAATATATAGACAATATATGAACCCAAATACAGCTGTGGAATGTCAATGATAAGTCTTAAGAGCGCAACATGGTAATGTGTGACTC